CCGGGCCCCACTGTGCCCCGGGCCCCGTAGCGGCCGCCTGGGTCGCTATGGTGATTGTTACGCCACTCATCCCCCCGATACCGGAACTTCCGGTCAGAGGGAGATTCCCCGCAATAGACTTGGCTTTCCGCCCAATCGGGAAGCTGGGCGGCAAGTCAGAACCCACCTCCCGGCTTTCCTGATTGTCTAGGAAACCGGCTTGCTGGCCAATCAGGAAGCCGGGCGGCAACCTTGACCCGTCACCCGGCTTTCTGATTGGTCAGGAAGCCGGTCTGCCTTGCCGCGTCACTAGGCAGCGTGAAGCCGGTGTTCTTCCAGGCAATCAGGATGGTGGGTAATGACCCGCCGCCCGGCTTCCTGATTGGCCAGGAAGTCCGGGCCCATGCTACCTTGGGATGCCAGTATCGGTGCTCGGTATGGAAATACTGCATTGGCGCATCCCTACCTAAACACTTCTTCTTTTTTTGCCATCTGTGTCCCATTGGAGGCATTTCCCTTCACTTCCTGTCCCGGAGACGGGACTTTTTGCTGGGAGTGTGCCTTCTGGCTTCCTCGGGGGCGCCTCAAAAATGGTGCACACTGCGATGTGTTTTCCTAGTGTTGGTCGTCTGCTGATGTGACGGGGGGCTCAGATGTGAAAAGGGGGCTGTGATGTAAAAGGGGACTCTTATGGGAAGGGGGGTTTGGAGGGGGGCTTCTAATGTGAAGGTGGGGCTCCTGATATGAAAGGGGGGCTCTTGATGTAAAAGGAGGGACTCTGATGCGAAAGGTGGACTCGCGATGAAAGAGGGGGCTCCTGATATGAAAGAGGGGGCTCCTGATATGAAAGAGGGGGCTCCTGATATGAAAGGGGGGGCTCTTGATGAAAGGGAGACTCCTGACGAAAGAGGGGGCTCCTGTTGTGAAAGGGGGACTCCTGATGAAAGAGGGGGCTCCTGATGTGAAAGAGGGGCTCCTGATGAAAGAGGGGACTCCTGATGAAAGAGGGGACTCCTGATGAAAGAGGGGACTCCTGATGAAAGAGGGGGCTCCTGATGTGAAAGGGGGCCTCCTGATGTGAAAGGGGGGTTCCTGATGTG